GAACGTTTCGTTTATTATATTAACAATCACGTGATACAATGATGGAGCGTGGAGGGCGCTCCCCTCGGAGCAAGCATACGGAGCGGGTTGTGTGCGCATTGTGTGTGTGTCTGTGTGTAAATGTAGAATTTTTTTACACTTAAGTCCACTCTTAGTAGCATTCTTAAGCGTAATTCTAAGAAGTTTGATAAAAATGAGCCCTGAGATATTGCTTTACAAAGTGATATTGTCATGATGGTGATGGGTAATGATTAAATGCTTTATCTGATAAAGGATAGTAATTTTTTTAATTTATTAATTAGTTTTAATAAAAAAAAAGAAAAATCTTGCTAATTATCATGGAAAACTTTATTGTGACTCATAAAATTTTTTCTTCATCGTCAGGATGTCATTCTAGAGATATTTTTAATGTTTAGCTGATTTGTGCTATTTTAGTGTGAAACAAATGACATAATTCTTTACTGGCTAAACTTTACCCTTGCTGCCTGACCCACAGATTGCTATATCTAGCTTTTTGAAAAACACTCCTCTTCGTGGCCAGTTTGACTCATCGACACATGGAGGTACATGTGGTTTAGGGGTGGCAAACTCTTTGCTTTTGCAAAGTTATTCAGTTTGTTCTGAGCTCTTTGTTTTAAATAGCCACTCAACATGACAGCATCAAAGTGAAACATGTTTAGGTTTAAGTGTTTCTACATCACCTCTAAGCRCTACTTGTTCCGACTGCTAACAGATTGGCTAATCTCTAATCTTTTATCGGGAAGCGGACGAAACAAGTCGCGCCCAGTAAACACTCCCAGATCTTTACAGCGACGCGTCTTCAAACACGGTCTCGGCTTTTCAAATTTCCCATGTGCTCTCCATGCACTGAAACGCACCATATGGTTAACACAGTTCAAAGGGATTTCTCCTTCTAACAGTTTGTTTCAGCAGTTTATTTAATGACTGTAATGGTCAAACCTTAGTCTGGAATTTGGCRGCAGTTTTATATAATGCCTACTTTTAGTCCAACAGCTGGTACCCTGTTATTGGGGAACGTGGCAAAGCTGCATTTAAATGAAGATCTTTAAAAGTAAGCTGGTGGGTGGGCAAAGAGGGAGGAAAAGGAAGTTCATTTTATGTGTTTCCAAGGTTGGATGTCATTAAAAGTGCTTTAAGCAAACAGGGRGGCATGAGTTTTAATGTTTTTTAAAGATTTTGTGACAAACTGAGCTGCTTTATGTGTAAAAAAAAAATGCATGTTTTATGATGCAAACGTAAATATCAGAAAGTAAACTGGAGAAACAGGCTGTGACTAATGGTTTATAATTAAAAAATGCTGAAGATTTACTGCAAAGAAAGCATACATGTTTGTAAGTCATAGCTTTTACGTTCACTCAGCAAACCTCACTCTCTTATCAAAAAATGTCAAGGATTTGTTTTTCAGCAGGCTTAAAATCCTTATCAGTAAGGTGGCTGATTGTGGTCTCAGAGCAAAAAGAGAACTAGTTTTACCACCAGAGGCTCTGCTTCATTTCTGTGATCAACTGACCTTGACACAGGACATTATACTTTCACATATCACACGATTCCAAACCTTTTCACTTTTGTGTCTTTTTAAAGGAACAGTGTGTAGGATTTTGTCAATTCTTTTAACCAAAATTGAGATAATCACTAATGACAATAATAAAAAACATGTCTAATCATTGCAGACAAAGACCTTGTTTTATTATTTTACCTTATAAAAAGCTGTTTATATCCCCATGGTCGCGGGTCGCCACTACAGGCAGCCGCCATCTTGTCTACAAAGGCTCATGAAGGACAAACTGCGGTGGCGGCGTCAAAAACGGTTTTAGTTGTAATACTATAAATGTAATATTTGTTGTCTGTCAAGCTACGTTTACATGGACAAAAGTAATCGGATTAAACAGCCGTTAGGAATAAAAATGCGTCATGTAAACAGCCCATTCCGATTATTCTGATCCGACTGAGCTCGATCCGAATGAATTTTTAATCTGAATGAAAAGGGTGGGTTATGCCGATTGATAATCGAAATGAGGTTCATGTAAACACTTAATCGGACCATCTTATTCTGATTGTAGAAAACTGATGTGTGCGCATGTCTGCTGACTTTCAKTCACCCGGTGGGACAGCAGCGCTCCAGCTGCGCAGCACACTGCACAGAACTTTTCCTCCTCGCTCTCTTAACTGATGAAAAAGGAGGCAAACAGCAGACGTTGCTTCGCAAAAAATAAAAATAAAAAGCACGTATTGCTTCATCTGCAGGCTGCAGCTCAACCGAGGAGTAACGGCGTCTCTACCGTTATTAAAAGCTGACACAGGTCTGTCCTGAGCGCACAGAGGAGCTTTGTTTACGTTTGTAACACTGAAGTAGAGCTGAAAGTTTACAACACTGCGCATGTCCAGACTTTTATTCTGAATAAAACTCCGGTGCATGTAAACACTTTTCACGATCGGATTGTGTCCATGTAAACAGTACATTCGGATTATTTAATCTGAATACATTTCAATCCGATTGAAAAAATTTGTGCATGTAAACATAGCTGGTATAATTTTACTTATTAAAGCTCATAATCTTACCATTTGAAACATCACCAGCCCTGAAGCTGCTGGTAGACATCGTGATTGGAATTATCAAAGGTTTTTGACACCTGAGAGACACCGTAGCGTTTGGAAGCAGGGGGTGGGGGTGGGGGGAGGACCAGGGAGGATGATTCAACCACTCAACCACTAGATGTCACTGAAAACAACAAATCCTACACACTGTGCCTTTAAATCATATTAACATTTCACCAACTAAAATTCAGATTCCAATTGCACCAACAACTGTAAAGTGATTTCCAGTCTTTTGAAACATTTGCAACATGGGTCCAGTTGTCACATGATATTTTAGCAAAAAGGAGGGAAGTACATTGGGGTTCCCATAGAAAAAGTCTATTTTGACTTGAAGAATGAAAACTTTAGTTCCTCCTCTCCCCTGTCTGTGGTTTTGTCTTTTGTTCAGTTCCCTTTGAATTTTTTCTTCAAAACCTTCTTTATGTCTTTCCCATGTTGTGTTTTCATTTATGCTTTATGTTATGGATCAGTCTTAACATGGTCTCCAAACCTTTAAGACATGAAAGGTTCTAGTTAAAATTCATGTACAGAATTACTCTGCAGGTCATATATTTAGTATTTGTTGGTAATTTATCAGATTTAGAATCACATTTTACTATTAAATTTTTTTACAGTCCCGTTATTTATTTTCTCATTATTAAAAGCCAAGAATTATTTTAAAGTATTTGATTTATTTTGAAAAACAATATCTGACTACACCCATTTTAACAAGAGTTGCTTTATTTTATTGCTGTATATCTGAAGCTCTTTTTTGTGTAAAACATAAAATCCTTTAACCTTGTTGGTTTAGTCTTTAAATTTTGCTCTCTTGTTTTTGCAGAGCGGACGTTTGAAGACCACGAGAACATGGTGGAGCCACTGTTAGCGTGGACAAGGGACAGTGAAAACAAAGTCCTCTTTCAGGAAAGAAAAGAAAAGTTTGAGGTTTTCAAAAACCCACAGGTCAGTCCTCTCAGTGTGTGAATGCAGACCACCTTCATCTCTGTGATCACAGCAGCTTAGACACTGAGCATCCAGCCATATGATGACACACAAGGCTTTAATCCTGGCCTGAGTTTGTGTAAATATGTCGTCTCAGCTCAGCTGACTCTTTGCCGAATTATGAGACATCTTCTCCCTGACTGACCTCTTGCAATCAATGTTGCTGCTGCAATACATCAGACAGAACAGCTTCAGACCAGCAAGATCTTGGCATGTTTGTTCTAATAAAGAAATGTTACAGTCTCAAAGCGTTTAATGGATTCAGTCTGTTGGCAGAGACAATCAGTCTGGTTGGAGGAGCGGTGAGGTTACTTCATCATTTGCTCCAACAAAAAACAGCTCTGTTGTCTGTCTTCATTTACATTTTAAACTTCTGAYAAGAGCTTCCACATAGGTTTTCCTTCTGGGTTCTTCCTTTGATGAAACAAAGACTTGGCTATGAAATTGARCCAAAGTATCAAGAGTCTGGAAGACTCTTTGGACTGTTTAAAAGGTGATGTAGTTTGGCTCTGGATGCTAAAAGATAAAATTTTGGTGGGGTTATTCAGTTTTGCCCAAATCATTTTGAATAATTCCTTTACAAAATCAGGTTTAGAACTGGGACTTCAAAGCAGTTATGACCGGGGCCCAAGCCCCTTTATGTATGTCGCCCTTGGCCCATGTCGTCCCCAGCACCCAAACACACCATTTTATTACCATTAACGCAGTGTTTGTTCTTACAGAATTTTTATCTCTGGAAAAAAGATAARACAACTCTCAAAGACATGAAAGACAAAGACAAGGAACTACTGATAAAGGTAAAAAAGCAGGTTTTCATACAACCTGTAAATGATTTTTGAGGTCTCTTTCCATGGCATCCTTTATTTTATTTCTAATTTCTCACTCCTGCAGGAAAACTTCTGTGGGACTTCCATCATTGTGCCTGATCTGGAGGGAGTGCTGCACCTCAAAGAAGATGGCAAGAAGTCATGGAAACAGCGGCTCTTCCAGCTCAGAGCTTCAGGAATTTATTATGTTCCCAAAGGGAAGACCAAGGTTAGACAGAGRGAAAGAAAATAAGTCATTAAACAATTGAAAACAGCTAAAAATAAACCCAAAGCTTTAATTTAGGGTTCACTTTAAAAATTTTAAGTCCTGCAGACAAATATCYGTTATAAATCTCTACTGAAACTGTACTGAGATGTGAACCTATTCCATATTTCTGCTGCTTTGACAATACTTTTTCATTCTTACTGTTTTTTTTTTTCAGTACATATCTTGAATTTCTTGGTGATGAATATATTCTGGAGTGTTGGTACTTCATAAGGTGAACTACATTTTGCAATAAAACCCTTTTTATATTCTTTTTTTTACAGTCATCCCGTGACCTTGTCTGCTTTGTCCAGTTTGACAACGTGAACGTTTACCTTGGGAAAGATGTAAAGAACAGATACAAAGCTCCAACTGACTTCTGCTTCGTTCTTAAAGTAAGTCCRCTCATCAGTCTGGCTCTGCTCAGATCAACACAACTTTTAATTCTGGGTTTGATAAACTAGAGCAGGGATAGTCAAGTCGGGTCCTCGAGGGTCACAGCTTACATGTTTTACTTGTTTCTCTGCTCCAACACACCTGATTTGAATGAATGGGTGATCTTCAGGCTTCTGGAGAACTTGKAAGAGGTCATTCACTGACTGAATCAGGTGTGTTAGAGAAGGGAAAAAAGTAAAACATGCAGGGCTGTGGCCCTCGAGGACCAGGATTGACTATCCCCAGCTTCAGTATTCCCAGAAATATTTGAAAAGACAATAACTTTTGTCTGTAGATTTTAATGCAGAATTGAGGCATGAAAACTGGTTTCTGAGCTGAGCAGCTGCCTGCTTTACTGACAATGGAGGCACAATAAATAACTAAATTTGAAGAAGTGAAAGGAGACGCTTTAATCCAATTTAGCGTAAAGCATGAAAAGAAAAACTGACCAAGATTACTTCCGTAAAGTGCTTCCTTTTTATTGTTTAAAAACAATTTACCACATGCTTTAAATTTGAACTGATTAAAGTGAGAAAAGCAGCAGTGAGGTGGTATTTAAAGCTCTTATGTAAAACAGAGAAGTGCTGACATAAAGAAAGAATGGATTAGATGGAGGGGGATTTTTGGTAAACGTTAAAAAGGGACGTGAAAGTCATTTTCCACCCAGTCTTATCTGGGATAGTTACACTAAATGTTGAGCAAAAAGAGCTGAAACAGGAAGAGGAACTATAAAACTTGCAAGTCAAAGACAAAGGCTAGATTTGAAGGGGGGAAAAAGATTGTTCTTAGAGAGCAAAGGAAAAGGACACTGTTAATAGTCAGGTATCACATACCTAATGTTTAAGGAGCTTCAATTGTTGCAGATGATATGAAGATGAAATTAAGCGGTGCCATCTTCATCAGGCTGAGAGTTAAATGAGGGGTGTGTTTTGACAGATGGGTGGGGCGGTGTTTAAGAGCTGCCAAAAAGCCCTGCAACAGCTCAAGCAGAGCAATTTAGCTTCATCAGAGAAAGTGCTGTAGGTGATCTCTAATCTTCATTATGCAACACTGATAACATGTCAAGGGAAATTTAATGGAATTTTAACTTTGTCCTCAAGGGGAAAACACAAATGATGTTGGCATGTGCAAATGTCATTTATTGTTAAAACCAATACGTGTGCAGTTTTTGACCTGAAGACTGCAGAAAAAAAACCTCATCAATTTCAAATCTCTTTTTGCTTTTAACTTTTACGGAATTTCATCCGTTTCATTTTATGTTCACTTGTTCCCGTTTGTGTTGACAAATCACAAATCTGCCCTCATGTGGTTGCCCCAATGCAATTTTGTAAAACCTTGTTTTTGCAACTAATTATTAAATGAACAGATTTCAAGCTGAGACACATGATTTTAGCTGCCTTTGAGCAGATAAATACAAGCGAGACAGAAATATATATATA